TATAACCATATATACAATTGCTGAGTATAAAGAGAGGAATGCACATACGCTTCCAGGATGGCCTTGGGGTCTGCCCCACCCTTGGAGACTTAAGATCCCCACCCCAAAACTATATATACAATTGTTGGGCATAACGAAACGAATGCAGTCATGATATAAGAATAGACCCTAGGGTCTGACCGAGCCCCTAGGGACCTAGTTTCTTAGTCACAGCTTGGAAGCAGTTGAGATCCCTACCCCAAAACTATAAATACAAATGCTGGGCATAAAGAGACGAATGCAGTCATGATATTAGAATTGATCCTGGGGTCTGGCCACAACCATAGGGACCTTGTTTCTGAGTCACAGCTTGGAAACAGTTGAGATCCCCACCCCATAACCATACATTAAATTGCTGGGCATGACACATCTAATACAGATATACTACAAGGATTGGCCTTGGGGTCTGTCATATTCCCTTGGATCTCATTTGGAGAATATTTTGCCATGATTGCTTATATATCAAGATGAGCGATACAGGTCCTCAGGGCCTCTTGTTTATTATCAGAATACGATTTTTAGACATCATGCCAAGATGGAATTGAATTGTTGGACAATTACATGTCCAGAAACATACTATTTGCCCTTGATTAATCAACCAAGACTTCAGCTTGGTTTTCCTTGGATTATGTTGACGTTTCCTTGGATACGAAACCATTGGTTTAACTGTTACACATACAGTAAAATTAAACCCGATGTGATGGAGCTCGAATTAGAATTATCACCATTATAACTCGAACATACAATTTTATCTCAATCGTTATATTCCTCGTTACCCTCATAAACCCGGAGAAATCATACGTGTTTGTTTTTGTTAAGGAGTTCGACGTAAAATTTAGATTACAGACTAAGGAATCAAAAGCACTACCTGAGCCAAATGTTATGAATTCCATAACAAAACAAACAAAAATACATAACTCACAGTATCATTAATAAAATGAGGGTATCCCCGTCAAAAAATAAAGTGACAAGCGTAAATAAATGTATCTGCGAGTAATGGTACCCGTTTGATAACATCAAGGGAGGTAAGCGAGGGAGGGATTGTAAGTAACATAAACGCACCAACAGGGTGAGCATGTGAATTATAGAAACGTGTTTATGTGAACGGCTACATGTATAAGCCGCCAATTAATCAAAGCGAGAATTTCTCACATGGAGAACTGGATGTTTGTGTTTGATTTTCCAAATGTGATATTTCATTTACCGAAGTCAGTCGAGCAATCGTTCAGTGTCGAATGGTTTCACATGACAATACGTTCGGAAGCCCTCTAACGGATTAATCCTATTTACATTTTGATTAGATTCACGCTGAAACGCATGTGGTTAAATCGAACTGCTTAAACACATTCCAATCAATTCATAGGTACGCACATTTTCTTCAGCATTAAAGTTAATTGGTTCTACATAGTATTGTGTTACAAATGAGAACGAAATGTAGATTCAGTATTTTCCCAAACGTTATTCGTTGCGAAGCGTGCTAGCGTACTATTTATAAATGTTGAGTTCGACCCTGAGGTAGGCAAGGTGCGCGCTCTAAAACCTAGATTTGTGAAAGATGAGGACATTGCGGACGAAAGCAACAACTTTTGTCCACTTGCTCTATGTAAGCACCACGTTATGTTTCTGTTTTAAATAGGACAATGCTTGGATTTTAATTATGAAAATAGATAAAAGAGAAGAACATCTGTTACAAACGATCAAAGTATTAATGGGATGTTAAAAACATAGTGAATTTGGTTGATGTATGTTTCAAACCGAAGCAAGCTATGCGACGGCATTTCACTCACCTATTGATATCAATATCTTTTTGATGGTATTGCCAAAGACGGCGGCTTTTAAGATAACTCCTAGAAAATACAAAATTGTCCTAAATGAGCAATTGGTTGTTCATGCTATAAGAATATCCTCATTCCTTATCATTATATATGATATAATAAACAAAAATCCTTTACTGGAAGATTATATAAAATACCCTCTATCAGTTTCAGACTCACTCTCTTCGGGGGCCCCACTTCTTCATGACTACTAACTAATCGTAATGGGGGAACGTCTGTATTTGTCGGCTTGTGAAATGGTCTTGTGATGTAGTAGTCGGTATAATGCTGGAATATTCTATGTCCTAGAGTCAACGTCTGACCCTCCGTAGCTCGGAACATCACATTCTACTTTCCGGGAATACATAACGACGGACCGATCCGTTCCACATTGGAATTCCGGATAAAATAACAGCGAAACTACATACAACAAAACCGGTTCCGGTGAAAAACTGAACGGTTTCTTTTGGCATACATGCGTCATTATAAACTATTTTTATCTTTGTAATCCAAGACGAAAAGCTAATAACGGATAGCATAAACCAATACTATATCAAAGTTCCGAACGGACTTATGGAATGAGTGTATTTCTTCTAAAGAATGTCTATAAATAAATGGTTTGAGGTTCTTATTGTACTTATAATAAGGTTGATATAAGTTTACAATTTTGGAAAATATGGCTTACTGAAACTTGAACACATTCTTTGATAAAAGATATCTAAGAAACGATGTAACTAAGAATGTGACTAAGACACAAAGTATCAGTATTAGAGAGTTGATAGGAGACGGTGTAACTATAGGAAATTGTAATTAAGAGAGAGTGTAACCAGGATACAGTTATAACTAGTGGAGGGTGTAACTATAGGAGACGGTGTAACTGTAGGAAATTGTAACCAATAGAGAGTGTAACCAGGATACAGTTATAACTAGGGGAGGGTGTAACTAAAGGAGACGGTGTAACTATGGGAAATTTTAGCCAAGAGAGAGTGTAACCAGGATACAGCTATAACTAGTGGAGGGTGTAACTAAAGGAGACGGTGTAACTATGGGAAATTGTAACCAATAGAGAGTGTAACCAGGATACAGCTATAACTAGTGGAGGGTGTAACTAAAGGAGACGGTGTAACTAAAGGAAAAGATGTAACTAAAGAAGGCGGTGTAAATATAGGAGACGGTGTTACTATAGGAGACGATGTAACTAAAGGAGGCGATATAACTATAGGAGACGGTTTACCTATAGGAGACGGTGTAACTAAAGGAGTCGGTGTAACTATAGGAGACGGTTTACCTATAGGAGACGGTGTAACTAAAGGAGTCGGTGTAACTATATGAGATGGTGTAACTATAGGAGACGGTGTAAATATAGGAGACGGTGTAACTATAGGAGACGTTGTAACTATAGGAGACGTTGTAACTATAGGATATGGTGTAGCTAAAGGAAACGGTGTAATTTTAGGAGACCGTGTAACTATAGGAGACGGTGTAACTTAAGGAGGCGGTGTAACTAAAGGAAACGGTGTAACTATAGGACACCGTGTAACTAAAGGAGGCGGTGTAACTATAGGAGACGGTTTACCCATAGGAGACGGTGTAACTAAAGGAGTCGGTGTAACTATAGGAGATGGTGTAAATATAGGAGACGGTGTAAATATAGGAGATGGTGTAACTATAGGAGACGGTGTAACTATAGGAGACGTTGTAACTATAGGATATGGTGTAACTATAGGATATGGTGTAAATATAGGAGACGGTGTAACTATAGGAGACGGTGTAAATATAGGAGACGGTGTAACTATAGGAGACGTTGTAACTATAGGATATGGTGTAGCTAAAGGAAACGGTGTAACTTTAGGAGACCGTGTAACTATAGGAGACGGTGTAACTATCGGAGACGTAGTAGCTATGGGGACGGTGTAACTACAGGAGATGGTGTAACTAAAGGAGGCGGTGTAACTATAGGATTTGTGGTCGGTTGGCGCATTGGATAGCGCACTTGCCTTTCACCAAAGCGGCCGGGGTTCAATTCCCCGATCTGACGTGAAAAGGTATGGGGTCACCTGCCCGACCACATGGGTTTTCTCCGGGTACTCCGGTTTCCTTCCACAGTAACAGTAACAGTACGAGACAGTGTAAGTATAAGAGACGGTGTAACTATGATAGATTGTTATTAAAGATATTGTAACTAGCAGACGTGGTAACTACGGTTAGTACAACCAGAAGACAAAGACGAGAGATAAACTAGAAAAGTCACCACTAGACAGAGTAGCTACGAGTATTTAAGCACAATATAACTATTATATTCTCGTACAATTACTACGACACGCAGTCATTACTAGACAGAGTAGCTACGAGACACAGATGTACGAGACGGCGGTTCCTGTGACCGACTTATTTGACGCTGACACAGTAGATATGTGTGTAGTTTAGTTTGTCGTAAAACCTTGTATTCTGTCGTAACCTATGTGTAGTGGTATTGATTTTGTGAACTGTTCACACGCTAGCATAGCGATCTAATGCATTACCAGGCGGTCTGTCAACACGGATCACTCCGCGGATTCATAAACACAACCTCACAATAGGGGTTCATCAACTTTGTCCTATTAATTAAGGAAGGGGAGGAATCTGACGGACAAGCAACACGACTTTCGACCGTCTGTGTGTCCATTTAGGTTTTCGCCGGACGTTGGCACTCGAGGCGGAGACAGACGGCAGAGTTTGTTGGTCGCTACGTTGGGTAGTGCTGCTCAAGGCTCCACATGACATCAAATTCGTTTCCTTTGGATATTACATCACCAGTATAGTTGCATTTTCTGTCTATTGATTGACAGATACTACGATTGCCGTACATCACGTGCTTTTGTGCTAATCTCATATCACAGAAATATCAAAACTGTCTTTAGCGTTTCACTATTTTTGAGAGCCGAACACATCAAAGTGCACGTGTTGTGTCTGTTAGCAAGTGCACGTGCTGTCTGTTAGCAACGTCGCAAGCAGCTGACTGATGATATGCGCTAACTTTTACTACAAATAACATGTTCTTCACGTGCACACTTAGGTTGGACATGTAATTGTCGTGGACCCTTATTTGGAATGTTGGACGTGATAATCTGTTGATGTACTGATAAGCCTTTCCTATGTTCTTTGCAGTTCTAATCATGGTCTACTTTGTGTTTGCCGGGGAAGAGGACTGTCTCGCACGTAAGTAACTCTACTTTCATTTTCTTGGCCATTCTCTAAAAGGATGATCACTGTCGATTATCTTATGAATTAAGCGAAAGTAAGGTTTTCCGAACTATTTAAAATAATTCGGCATCCTTTGAATACTTGAATTAGAATGTATATACGACAAGTAGGTTTTTGTTTTCAAAAAATAAATAATTCGATTACCTCCCCTTCCTCCATATGTGAAGTAACGAGGATAATTGTATCTAGCAACAACAACAACAAAAACATCCTCTTTTGAGTGTAAAGTCAATTAATTCTATCATTCAGAGCTGTCTAGATGTCCTGTACATATGTAGCGTAGCATACACGTACTGCTATAAACCATATAGGTTTGGCTAAACCCCATTTTCGTGTAAGTGCTTCGAATGACTTAATTCACGAGAATAAACGAAAGGAGAATCAATTAATTCTCCTTCGTTTTATGTGTACACGAGATAAAAAAAGAAAAGAGAATTTCGAAGACACGACAAAAACATAGTTATAAGCAAAATTCGATAAAACTAGGGCAAAATATGAACAAAAGAAAGATGTACATGAAAACCCTTGAATACGTACAAGGAGAATAAGACAAGGTGTTCCAGAGGGGAGGTGTCTTCTGCTTCATCGAAGACACCCGCCATGTAAATCTGGGTCAAATCCAAGTATCACATCAAACACTCGGGAAGTGACAAAAACGGAACGAACACAAGCAATGACCATAAGCATAATCAAAAACATCGATAATTATACCACACAAAGAAACTGCGTATTTCTAATTCCCTACGTAATCATGATGGCGACCATACAACTTGTCTCTGGTCTTCGTCTTTCTGCGTCTGTCCGTCAGCGGTCGACAACTACCACAGAAGTTGTGATATCCAAGGGAAGCGAGAGTGTTACTATTAAGAAAGGGAAAGTTCACGACCGGAAAGTCAAAGTCGTGTACTAGCTGCACTGAGCACCGTAGCCAGACCAACGACTTTTATGAACGAATCATGAATTTAAAGCAAGGAGGTTCTTGGAAGGGCCGTTGTCAATGTCAACAACCTTGAAATACTATACTGAAATACACATTTACCCACCCCGCCATTATGTCCCTATGGTAACAAAGCTCGCATCGTGTTTTAATTATGTATACCTTCATAATCACAGAATGCGTTTTTTAATTCTGTTCATAATTTTATATAAACATATGTCTTCGTGTGTGCCTATCCATACATTGTCTACACAATAAATAAACAAATAAATATTTAACAAATAATTCAATTTGTTTCGAGTAGAAGTATGCATTCAAAGACAGAGGTTGGCACCGCACGACTCCGATTTTTTCAGAATAAACAGCATGCTTGGGCAGCTCCGGAACACTCTCGTTTTTACTTTTATAATGTCACCTGTGTGATTAACGTGAACGTTTGATTATTTTTGAACCATTTCGAGTAATTTGAGGGAAAAGCATAACATTAATAACAGGAGGATAAATCTGAGTCTAAATGATGAAATTGAAATGATATCCATTGAACTTTGACAACTCTTGTAGATTCAGAATTTTTTTTTTGTTGGAAAATGATGCAGATAAGTTCAAAGATAATATTTAGTGGTTTTAATGAACACATTTCACTACTCTAGGTAATAAATTCTGTAAATTTACGGACGAAGACAGCAAACTGGTCATAAACATGAATACAACGCGACGATTTCATTGTTGAAAGAAAAACCTCCGATAGTTTCCGATTCTTGTCCAATTAATGCCTTCCGAAATACAACAAATTATTTTCTTAAAACGAAACGACTATCTAAATAACATCAGTCCGAATAACGTCTATTTAAACTCTATCACTGGAACTATGTAGTGCATTACTGACTGTAGATCGTTGAAGCGGGGTTTTCTTCCTAAAATACCTAAAATATTTTAGTCACTATCCCCAAGAAGTATTTCAAAACTGTAAATGATCTTTTTTTTTTTTAAACAAGATTTGAATTTTTTGAATATTCAAATTGGTGAGAGCTATTACTTAAACAACCTCCGTTAGAAAAATCATTAACCTAAATCGACCTTCCCAATGGCCTATTACTATCAGAGAAGACGCCAAAATCAACATTTTTCTTTTTGTAGATGCGATAATTCCTCTGCAAAAAATAAATTAACCAATTTATAAATTTGATTTAATGTATTATCATAATATAGGAATATATATATATATGGTGTCCAAACTTTTCACAGAAATAAAAATCTTCGAAGTTTTCTTGTAGAACGATAAAATTTAGCCCTTGACGAGCCGTGTTACCGACATAACGAAATGCCTAGCCAGTGTTTATCGTAATGCAAGGCGGACTCCAGCATTAATATTTCACGAGGGTTGTGTGTAGGGATGCAAATCAATAAATCAATTGATTTAATTTCGTTTCGACTTAAAACATTATCATAAAAGCTAAATGCTTTTTCGATGCACTTTTGAAATATGTTGAACGTCTTTGCCATGTCTCCGATATAAAAGCGATTGGGACGGACTTGATCGAGTAGATTGGAATGTGTAGAATTCAATATGCATGACACACTTGAAAATGGCAATAAAATACTAACGCAAAAAGTGAACACGAAATATTCTACAGGGATCGGGGTAGAAGTGGTAACCTTTTACGTTCGTCATTCATCAATTGCGAAGTGGATCAATTCAAGCTTTTACATCATACTGACTAGCGGCAGTTCTCTCCGAGGAATTGAATTTTACCTCTAATCTAACGAGTTTGATCTGCAAACAGGAGAAAGCAGTTCCATCCTTTCATATTGGATTGATTATAATGCTCTTTTCATGTTTTGTCAAGTTCAAATCAATACTTTCTACTTTATTTTTATTTCGGCAAGTTTGCGAAATTAATGCAATTATGAGCAACCCTAGAACACACACGACTTTAAGTATTACAGTATATCAAGTGAAGCAGTCACGCAAACAGCGTCTCAACCGGAAATGGTGTTATGCAAGAAATTACAGGCTGTGTCATATGTATACACAGCTTTTGTAGCCATTTTCATTTTGGGTTTTCTTTTAATTAGGTGGACATTATATGTGGTGCAGGAAATAACTTCATTCCGAAGCAGTAGATTTTACTTCCGGTGTAACCCACCGTTACCAATGTTGATTCACTACACTGAACCATCGCTTTCATAAACAAGAAGTATAGATCATTCGTCATATTTGCCCGCTTTTCACAGAATCGTCACTCCCAAAACGGTATAATGTCTGTCAATTAGGTTTACTCTATAGACAGGAGGCGTATAAAAAACATTTAAGCCCATGCCAGATTTTTTTTTTTATATGCTATGGCGGTTTCTAATAAAGCCTGTACTTGACATGGCGGAAAGGTCAATAGGTCATCCGGATTCCCTGCCTAAACACGTGATCAATAAGCTTTGTTTTATCGCTTTATGTAAGATTGTCTACGATCTGGTCTTGGCATTTTGGTAATGTTCCCACTTCTGAGAATCTGAATTCCTGGATATGTCAATATTTTGTAAGATTTCATAACCGTCCTTCCAAACCACGTGACAAGGATTTTATTGAACTGTTGTACAAACGTCTTTTCCAGATGACCACCACAAGCCTGATATTTCTCTCGCGATCGTTTTCTTATTACTCAGGGGAATCAGTGCGCAGAAAGGAATTCTTTACAATTCATTGACCTACAACCAATGGTTCCACGTACGTCTAAGCTAACCTTATAAACCCGCCGAGTCAGCACAGCGAAATCGTGTTTAAATACGATGTATAGCCTCTAATGTTCCTTTATGAAATGTCAATTTGTTTTGTCGCGTACGAGATAAAGTCTACATAGCGTACATGGCTACAAAGCGACATATTTCAGACCATCTAACAGTAATTGTGTGCTTTTTTTTATAACTTGGCTCAGTCATACACATTTTTTATTAGTTTAATAAAAAATTATGGCATAATTAATTAGAAATTAATCTTTATAAAAATTAAATCAAAGTTAATTATTGGATTTAACATGACCAGTATCGCTATAGAACGCAATTATGTAAATTTATTTTGAAATTGCATGAAAGATATGAATTTAAGCATTTTGATTAATATGATACTTAGCGAGAACGCTTTATATAACTGTAATTAAACTGACACATAATAATATCAAACATTTCTTTATCAAGACGATATCACAAATATCCACATTTAAAAAAAGAAAAAAGAAAGAATTATTTGCAGAGTATTTTTCACATAACCATATTATATACATTTCATAATACAACGTAAATTCCACTTTCACACGTACTTCCACACTGATCCATATTACTCTTTTTGAAAGAGTCATTTTTATTCATTGTAATGTTCTTTTAGAAACAATAGAAAATCAGACTAAGAGAAACAAGAAAACAAAGAGAAGGATGGAAAGACAGAAAGATAGATGGAAGACAAATATCCACATAATCTACTCCATCCCTCGCCCTTTGAAACATCTCTTTCACCTTGAAATCCCCCCTCTCCTACCGCATCCCTGTCCGACCCCTCCCCTATACGTCATCCTCCATACCCCTCCCCTACGCCATACTCCATTCCCGACCCCTACCCTACGTCATCCTCCATTCCCCTCCCCTACACCATACTCCATTCCCCTCCCCTACGCCATACTCCATTCCCGACCCCTATCCTACGTCATCCTCAATTCCCCTCCCCTACGCCATACTCCATTCCCGACCCCTACCCTACGTCATATATATAGTATTGCTGACCGCTAAGTCTGCTGCATAGAGAATACATATATTGTATATAAATCACAATTCAATCTCAAACATGGCCTTATCTTCGATCAATAGAGGACTGATACTATACACTTGGCAATGGGTTTTCACTTAAATGCAACATGTGTAATGTTCTGTCCTCTGTGTAGCTAGACAGACGTATACCATATACGGTAGACTTTCCATCCTCCAACTCTGGCTGCCAAATAGTTTTGGCTGTTAATGGAAAACTAAGGTATTC